CGAATGGGATGATTGATACAATTCAGAAAATCAAAATAACTTTTCTGTTGTTAAAGCAAATAAGTACAGAAGCCAAACAGCAGGGCTAAAGTTAAACTATAGTTTCTACTGAGATGATTGCTACCATACTTCAGATTCCTGGGCCCTGACCATAGATAATTCAGTTTCAGTTTAACTAGAGTAGGACCTAGGCACCAGTTTTTCTAAACTTCCAGGGTGATTTTAATGTACAGTCAAGATTGAAAGCAGAAGGTTAACTACTGTGAGAGCCATATTTACTTGCCATATGGTGACAACAATTAGCTAATTTAAGATACTTGAAGAAGCCTTAAAAAAATGTCAAGGAATTCATAATTGCTGACAGAATATACACCATCACCATATTCGCAGGCTTCCAATAAAGCTATATAGGCTGAATGATGTTCACAAGCAGCTTCCGCTTATTAATGATTATGGTGCCCATGTTTTGATTTGCACATTAGTATTGCAGGTGATTTTGCAAATATTTGGTTATTTGAATATTAGAGGCCCAAAGCACAAAATTCTTGCAATAGTAGGCCTTCCTTCCCCTGACTGCCAGCACCGGCTTCCCTCGGGCACACAAGACCCGGGCTTCCCTCGAAGCCTCAGCTTTGTCCAGAAGGTCGTCAGGTCTAATTAGCATAGTACGCTTTTATTATTATAGATGTTGATGCCACAGCCACCTATAATATCAGTTTTTTTATATTCCTGCCCTTCTTGTAACCTCTGTGAACACTACTTAGTACCTTAAGTTCACTTCATATTGGAAATTTACCAAAAATAATTAAAAATTTGAAGAGGAAGTAAGAAGTCTTTCCTGCTATTGAGGGTTATTCATTACATTATGTGCTATGTTATATATGAATATTATTTTCTGTAACTATAGTTTAAGGGTAAGGTTTGGTTGTTTTTTCTTTACATTTATAGGTTAAACATTAATTTGACTGTCCTAGGTAAAGGTTTCAAGCCTTTACCTATCATGTCAAGCCAAGACTATGACTGATAGGAAGTACTGCCACTTGGTTAAACCCAAACTAGGGCTGCTACACTGCACAATTCCCGAGTGTCATTTATATTTTATTCTCTTACCATTCCACAATGCAGTTGTATTCTGTACATTGGTTTCCCCATATAGTTTTCATTTATTTGAAAACTCAGTTTGTCTAGGATCTGAGTGTGGAGGAAAGTAGCTGCTCAGAAATCAGTGTTGGATTATACTGGTAGTATTGAAAGATTTTTTTTAATGTGATAAACTCAAAATATTAGAAGAAATTTAATACAGAGAAAATATATAGGTAGAAATAACCTTGAGTAAAGGAGGTTTGACTCCTAGCTTGCCAGTAGGTGACCTCTGGCAAGTTATTTAATATCTTTGATCTTCACTTTTTTCATTTGTAAAGCAGGCATGTTAAATTTAGTGCATATAATTTGCTTAGCACATGAGTCACTCAATAAATGGTAGTAGCCATTAGTTGAGTAGGCCTTTAATTCTCTCTCTGGTCTTAACCCCTTCCCCAACAATTTTTTTGTTAAAAACGTTTCTTTTTCAGACTAATTTTTTTATTTTGGTTCTATATAGTATTTTTGATGCTGGTTATGAAAACAGTTTGTAACTCGTCTTCCTACAAACCATATTGTTAAAGCATTTTGGACTAGAAATATAGCAAGAGCAAAAGTACAGTACACAAGAACCTGCATGGTGCCTTGGGCCCAAACAAGCAGTGTGGTATTGCTGAAGGAAAAGTACAAAGCAGAGGTCTAGAAATGAGGCTGGAAAGGTCATTCTAGAGACAAAGGAGGATCTGGTACGCCATGCTTAAGAATGTAGACTTTGTCCTATGAGGCAGTAGAAAGCCAAAGAAGATTTTTAAAGGGGGAATGGTGATGTCATAATTATGTTTTAGACACCTCTGGCTGGAATATAAAGGGTAGTTTAGAGGGGACTAAGAAGCAAGGATATTGGTTAGTTGGCTATAGAAATGCACAAAGAGATGATGGGGCCCAGCTGAGGAATGAGGAAGATGAACAAATCTGAGGAATATTTAAGAGGCAGGCTTGATTCATCAGGGATAAAGATGAGTCACGGTGACTCCTAGATTTCTGGTTTGGTCAGTGGGTAAGTGATGGTGCCATTAACTAAGAGACAACAAAAGGATGAGAAAGTTTAGGGAGGAGGGGATAAGTCAGTCTTCAGCACATTGGTTATGAGTGACTGGGATATTCAAATGGACACCTTGCACAAGCAATTGGGTATTTGAGTTTGTAACTCAAGGACAGGTCAGGCCTGGAGATAACAGACTTGGCAAACATAGGTGTTGTCAGAACAGTGAGAGTCAATGAGATCATCCAAGCAAAGCAAAGTCATGACTGCTAGAATACCGTATTTGCCGGCGTATAAGACGACTGGGCGTATAAGACGACCCCCTAACATTTCCACTCAAAATACAGAGTTTGTTATATACTTGCCGTATAAGACTACCCCCTCTTCTGCACACCTTCCACACACCAAATAAAAGGTAAAACAATATCAGATTTGATTTTAACATTTTAATTTATATTCAAATGCTTATGACATGCAGGAAAACTGTCACAAGGCTGTATGTAATCAAACATATACATAAAACAGTGCAAGTTTATTACCGGTAAACATACCGGTAATTCACTAAAGAAAACACACTCTATAGACTGGTACCGTAGATGCTTCTCAGGAACACAGGCAAGCAGCCCACAACCTAGAGGGACTGTCAATGATAGAAGAAAGAT